TTTTTTTTTTTAATCACAATATAGTCCGTTTTTACTGGGAAGTCAACAAGAAGTGCTCTCTATATATTCATATATAATAAAAGATATATACACAGATAACACACACATATATATATAGAGAGTAGTCAACTTAAAACCAAAATGTGTTCTTGTCTTAGGAAAACTTTGATGCACATTTTTTATCCACTTCAAATGTTGACTACTGTATATATATATATATATATATATGTGTGTGTGTGTGTGTGTGTGTGTGTGTAACCAAATACAATAAATAAATATTTATATTTATAGAAATCATAGATATAAATCACTTTGTATAACAAGTAACTTTGTGTTATAATAAATACAATAAATATATTTATAATATATTTTAATACATGTATACACACACAGATATGTATACATCTATATACACTACCAGTCAAAAGTTTTTGAACAGTACAATTTTTACTGTTTTTTGAAGAAGTCTCTTCTGTTCACCAAGCCTGCATTTATTTGATCCAAAGTACAGCAAAAACAGTAAAATTGTGAAATATTTGTACTATTTAAAATAACTGTTTTCTATTTGAATATATTTTAAAATTTAATTCATATATATATACAGTATATACACAGACACACACATATGCTGAGCAACATACATATATATATATTAAAGGTCATATTCTCGATTGTGATGTTGCTGAGCATCAACTAAACCAACTCAACCTGAATTATATCTCAGAAGTTCTTCTTCACTTACACTAGTTTTGCTCTGTATGTTCACATTACTCCACGTTATCCTTCCCTTTATGTGCTTGTTTTTCTTTCCGTTTTTTAAAATATGAATATATCTCCCCCACGCGCGCTCGTTTATCTTAATTTAGGACCCGTGCTTTGTTTAGTTGAGTAAATCGAGCATCAATTCCTCCTACAGCGAAAGGGAAATGCGTCCTCCATCTGCACGTTAATCATTTCTGTGGATCACAGGCGTCTCTGTTTCCCGTTCCCTCACACACTGGCGTTTATTTCCCCTTCTGTTGTTATTGACCCCCTGGGTAACAGCTTAAGGCTAGAAGGAAGACAGCTGTGGCTACTGGGCATGCGCACATGAATACAGCGTAAGTTTTGTCACACTGTACAACAATAATTACTGTTTTTGCATTATTGTAAGGGGTAGGTTTAGGGCTGGGGTAGGTGTAGACATTAATAAAACACAGTCTACTAGGTAGAAAATTTAATTTCATTGTAACACCGTCGCTCTGAATGGAGACGGATGATGCACTGCTGGTAAACGCATGCTTATAATGAAACCACGAGAGCGAACTCTCTGCGGCTTTCGCTTCGTGTCTCAGATTAGCGTTGTTTGTGACTCGCCGGTCCCGCGTGGGTCATTTCCAGCAGATGCTGCCTGTTTCTGGATGCTTTCGCAATGAGACACGCAGCGCACGTCGCAAGCCATCGATCCCATAGAAAGAGCATTTCTGCCCTCGCTCTGGCCTTTGATTAAAATCAAATGGCTTTTCTTCCAGACTTTTCTGTTCACAGCGTAAGTTTTGTCACACTGTACAACAATAATTACTGTTTTTGCATTATTGTAAGGGGTAGGTTTAGGGCTGGGGTAGGTGTAGACATTAATAAAACACAGTCTACTAGGTAGAAAATTTAATTTCATTGTAACACCGTCGCTCTGAATGGAGACGGATGATGCACTGCTGGTAAACGCATGCTTATAATGAAACCACGAGAGCGAACTCTCTGCGGCTTTCGCTTCGTGTCTCAGATTAGCGTTGTTTGTGACTCGCCCGTCCCGCGTGGGTCATTTCCAGCAGATGCTGCCTGTTTCTGGATGCTTTCGCAATGAGACACGCAGCGCACGTCGCAAGCCATCGATCCCATAGAAAGAGCATTTCTGCCCTCGCTCTGGCCTTTGATTAAAATCAAATGGCTTTTCTTCCAGACTTTTCTGTTTGTTTTCTCCTGGAGGATACCAGAGGGAATCAAGGGGATGAGTTTATGGCTTTTTTTCCACATAGATGTTGGAATCGTATTTAACAATTTTCTCAAAACACCAGGGTGTTCGAGACCCCAAGTGAAAGGTCTTAGAAAGTTCATGCGCTAATGTTAATGTTAAAAAAGAGGTTGTGTTATATTTGTATATCATACGGCCTCCGGTGCTTTTATGAAACGGTAGTAGATGATAAAAAATTAAGAACACAATTCTCATTTTTTGTTTGGAGAAAAAAAAATCATTAAAAAGTTTAACTACTTTGCTTACCTAGAGAAGCAAAGTTCGTCAACAAACTCAATGTTTTGAAAGCCTTGTTAGAAATAGGTTTAAAAAGTCTTTAGTTTAAAGGTTTAAGATGATAGACAGACAGACAGACAGACAGACAGACAGATAGACAGATAGACAGATAGATAGATAGATAGATAGATAGATAGATAGATAGATAGATAGGGTCAATTGTGAGTCATTGTATAATTCACACACTGCTATTATCAGTGTTTTAGTTTGTCAAGCTGTTTTGATTCACAATGACACTGAAAGTCAAACGTATCGATGAGTTAAACGTCACAAAAGAGTGATTTGAAAATGTCCTGCAGCTGGTTTGGACAGAAGCGCTGTGTTTTGTGGTCAGCGATGGGCTCTATTTTGTGTGGGGATTGAGGAGGCGTCTGTGACTGTAATTTTGACGACATGACGTCTGTGCTGTTTGTCTAGTAAACTGTCTGTTGGAAAACAGGCTGATTTTTGATGCCTGCTGGGCAGCCAGAAGCCGAGGCAGTCAAATGAACTAATAAAGGAGCAGAAGCACAGAATAAATGAGGTACTGCTGTTGATCCTGAATGCTGGAGCAGGTTTCCAAATGAAAGCGCGCTGGTTTGATGTTCACCTGGAGGCCTGATGTTATTTTTATTCTGCTCAAGTTTCAATCAGTGTGGTTATGAATCAAACGTCATGAAGATGCAGTGAACAACAGACGAACACAAAACACACTAGACATTAGCAAAAGATACTCTAATGAACTTTAAAATACTTAGTAGAGTTTTTTTTAAATTAGATGCCAGGTAACAAATATCTTTTTGTGTTTACTTTAGAGATAAAAAAATCTCTTTTGCTCATCAAGGCTGCATTTATTTGATAAAAAATACAGTAAAAATTGTGAAATATTATTAGAATTTAAAACAGCAGTTTTCTATGTGAATATCTGTTAAAGTGTAATGTATTTCTGTGATGCGCAGCTGTATTTTCAGCATCATTACTCCAGTCTTCAGTGTCACATGATCTTCAGAAATCAGTATAATATGCTGATTTGCTGCTCAAGAAACATTTCTGATTATTATCAATGTTGAAAACAGTTGTGCTACACAATATTTTTTGTAGAAACCGTCATACATTTTACCTTTCAGGATTCACAGATGAATAGAAAGTTCAAAAGAGCAGCATCTATTAGATATAGAAATTTTTACTGTCACTTTTCATCAATTAAATGTGTCCTTTGCAGAATAAAAAAAAAAGTTATTTAAAAAAAATCTTTGCAGTTTAAGTCTCTCTTGTTTTGTGAGAAACAGACGTTCACTTGCATCAGAGTTTCAGCGTTGAGGAAAATATTACAGCATAAACAAACATGGATAAACAAAATCATCAAAGTGAGTCAAGAGCGAGAAACAATTATGAACACAAAAGACAAAAGGAAAGATGAAGAAACAGCTCTTTCGTGAAAGTTGAAGGTTGTATCAAAGGGAATAAAAGAAACAAACAAACCAACATGACAGAAAATTAACTTAAGTTTTTTCTGAGCTAAATCAAACTCACAACAAAACTAAAGCTACAGTTAAAGCAATAGTTCACCCAAAAATGAAAATTTACTGAAACTTTACACATCCTCAGGCCATCCAAGATATAGATGAATTTGTTTCTTCATCAGATTTGGAGAAATGTAGCATTGCATCAGTGTCTCAGCAATGGATGCTCTGCAGTGAATGGGTGCCGTCAGAATGAGAGTCCAAACAGCTGATAAAAACATCACAATAATCCACAAGTAATCACTGGAGGAAGCGTTATGATGGATTATGGGCTTGTTATAAATGTCTTAATGCTGGATTAGTTTAAGCTTTTGTCTTCTCCAGATGTTAACTGATGGACTGGAGTGCTGTGGATTATTGTGATGTTTTTATCAGCTGTTTGGACTCTTATTCTGACGGCACCCATTCACATCCATTCACTGCAGAGCATCCATAGCAGACATTTCTCCAAATCTGATGAAGAAACAAACTCATCCTAATCTTGAACGGCCTGAGGGTGAGCACATTTTAATTTTTGGATGAACTATTCCTTTAATAAAGAGCAAACAAAACCAAACAAATGAGTTACTATGTTGTCAATGTTGGAGAAATAGTACTTGCATAGTGTGATTTAGTCAATTAAATAATATAAATGTTTCTCTAAATAGTCAAAATACTAAGTTACACGTTGATTGGTTAGTTTTATGTGCCCTTCTTTTGTAGCGTTTTGTACAGAAACTGCTACGCTATATAGTTCTTATGAACCTCAAATGAACTAGAATCCTCCGTTATATAATTGCCCATCAATAAACATTA